CACCAATATGGGACAGCAAGTTGACTGCCTAAGCAGGATTTCCTAAGCAATCCCTCCTATACGGGTTCGAATCCTGCCGAATGCCGCGAGTTTTTTCACGATTGGGTCAACTGAATTAACCAAATCTGCCAAACCAACTTACTAACAGTAGTTTATTATTATAAGTCAAAGGCCAGTAGGACCTCTAAGGACAGTCCTATCGTTTCGCACTTAGCCCAAATCCGCTGTGGTGGTTGCCTCTCCTTGCACCAATAACGCAGCACGTTTGTTTACTCTGAATTAAAATAGCCTCTGCCTCTTTCCCCCGCACACTTAGAAATTCGAAGACGGTGTGGTCTACCTGCAAATGCAAGGCTCCTGCTCCAGTTGTCCCAGCTCCATCGTCACACTGAAACACGGTGTGCAGAACATGCTGCAGTTCTACATCCCCGAGGTCGTCAGCGTGCAGCAGATTGAAACAGAAACCGAAAAAGCTGCCGCGCGAGAGTTTGAGAAGACGGAGGCGGCGTTAAAGCAGAAGCCCACCGACGGGAGCGGTCCGACCACTTCGTGAATTTTAGCCCACACTACTAATACCTCCGTCTAATCCTTTTTGAGGCGGCCCTTATTCTAGTCCCCCCCGCCCTCCCCCTCCTTCTTTTTTGACTTGCTTTCGTGCTTCCGGGCGGTGACTGTAAAGAAATTAACTTCCCCCCCGCAGCAGCTGCAGTTTCTTCTCTAGTTTTGTATTTACGGAATAGTGCACGCGTCTCGCAATATACTGCACTTCAGTTTTTTTTAGCGGAAAGCTAGACTCCCTATTGGTTATAAAGTGACTAAGAAAACAGGCACGGATACGTAAGGAAAATGAGAAAAAGCTTGTGGGAAAAAACAACGCTATTCAGCCAAAGTAATAAATATAAACGCCTACTCACGTATTGATAGTAGTGTAAGTAAATACAATTGGTCAAAGTATGCGAGTTAAGTGGCAGAAGGGAAGTTGGGAATGCGTAGTTTACTCCGGTGTATTTTATAATAAAAGTTCAGTACAACTGTGCCTGGCCTGCTTACAGCCGGCCACGAGCCCAGACTGACTAAGGTGGTTGTGAGGTGAGTTCGGCAACGTAAATCGCACCTTTTTTGGGCTTAAGCGCGCCCGAAAACAGTCGTTCTTCGCAGTGTCTCCACCCCGATGTAAAACGCAGATGCTCGGTTCAATAGTATAGTAGATTCTAAATCGCATGAAATGCCAACCTAAATTCTGATAGGCCATTTTGCCTCAAACCAATTGCTTAGGCCAGATTGTGCTAATGCTTATTTACAATGGTTATTTACAACAACCAAGTGATCCAACGTCCATTGTTCTCACCTTGGA